GTCCTGGACCCAGTGGCTCAAAAATCATGCTGGGTGTGTGTGTGTGTGTGTGTGTGTGTGTGCATGTGTGTGTGTACCCAAGATCAGGGGAGGATGGAATTGTGGCATGGCCATTCCCCCTGGTGGGTGATTTCTTACTTTCCCTCTCACTCTATCTCTTTCCAGTGAATGCACACACCCTAAGGCAAAAACCTCTTAAAAAAAAAACACACAACAAAAAATGACAATAGTGGAAAAGTAGCTAAATGTGAATGAATTCTATAGTTAATGCTATTCTATCAATGCTAGTTTCCTTCTTTCTTTGAAATTATTGCCAGAGGGTGCATGCGCTCTTCAGAGAGAGGGAGAGAGAGTAAAGGAGAAAGCGTGCCCGTTGGGTCATGGTCACACCACAGCCTCCTCTCCATTTCTCCGTCCTGTCAGGATTAGGGGCATACACTGGTGCTGACATGTTTTTCAAGTTGTCAGGGCCGAGACTTGAACTGTACAGTCAGCCTTGCGAGATCCAGCTCCCTGAATCACCAGGCCATGGGACAGCCCAGTCAATGTTAGTTTCTTGGTTATGACAAATACATCATGGTGTGTAAGATGTTAGAGGAAGCTGAGTAAAGGGCAACAGGGATGCTTTATACTGTCTTTGCTACTCTTCTGTAAATCTAACATTATTTCAAATGAAAAAATAACCTTGTATTACCTTTACCCAGTGACTGGCAATCCTGGTATAACACTGTAGATCTTTTTGGGGAATTTCTCAACGAAACCCATCCCCCTCTTCATTCAGGATGCATTCAAGTCTGAACTGGCACAGGATGGGGAATTCAGTGAGAAAGTTTAGTTTTTCTGTTTTTGTTTGTTTTTAATGATAGAGAGACAGAAAGATAGTCAAACACCCTCAATAGGGTCTCATGCATACTGACCTTCCAACCCCCAGCTTTTCAGTCAGCCAGAACTGCCTGGCACGTACAGCTTGATGGAACTGCACCTGTGCCGCTCTGGACGGCTCTAGCTTCACTTCAGCATTGCTGTAGAGCTCTGCACACCAAGCCAAACCTAGGTGAGGGTTTTTGACCATCTATTGTGATAATTCACGTCAGATTTCTGCTCATCATACCTAGAGATATTACAGTTAAATAGGTCAAATAATGTTTTAATAGGTTGTTGTGAGTTGAATTTTGTACCCCCAGGGTTGGCAGCTGGTGTGGTGGGTGGTTAAGGTGCTGGACTCCTACATGGTTGACCGCATGAGTCGGTGGTTTGAGTCCCAGATCTTGTGACTTGCTTTCTTACTTTCCCTCTTTTCTCTTTCTCTGGTCAAATTAAAAAATAATAAATAAAATTAAATAAAATAATTTTATCCACTCAAAAAATATACTCAAGTCTTCATCCTTGGTGTAAATTTGACCTTATGGGAAAAAAAGCTTTTGCAGATGTATTGGGTCATTGTAAAAGTCATGATTTTTTTTCTACGCAAAATGCATCATGACTTTTCTGATGACCCAATAATTAATATATGAGTAAGATGAAGTCCTACTGGAGTGGGCCCTTAGTCTAATATGATTGGTGTCCTTCTGAGAAGAGAGACATAGACACAGGGGAAGATGGTTTTTGACAATGGAGGCACAGGTTGGAGTCATGCAATCGCAAGCCAAGAAAAGTCAGTGATACCAGTAACCATCAGAAGCTAGAAGAGGCAAGGAGGGATGGTCTCCCGAGAGCCTTCAGGGAGCATAGCCCTACCTGCACAGTGACTTCAGACTTTCATCCTCCAAAACAGAGAGGATAAATTTCTGTAGTTTTGAATCATCCACCTTGTGAGTTACTCCCAGGTATTCTAGTGTCTTAGCTGGTTCCCATTGCTAAGGGGACTGGATTCTAGACCCATTCCGGCAAACTGTTAGGTTGCTGCAAAAGTAATTGCGGCTTCACATTGTTGAAACTTGCCATTTGGTATCCACAGATTCTTAAATAAAAATGGGGTTATGTTACACATCATTTTAACATGTCTCTATTTTTGCTAGTGATATTACTTGCTGTTTATTTTATATGTATATTTTAGACTATGGAAATGATATTAGAGAAAAAGGAAATTCGAGCAATTTTCTTACTTGAGTTCAAAATGGGCTGTAAAGCAGTGGCGACAGCCTGCAACATCCATAGCGCATTGGCCCGGGAACTGCTATGAACGTGCAGTGCAGTGGTGGCTCAAGAAGTTTTGCAGAGGAGATGAGCGCCTTGAAGACAAGGTGCGTACTGGCTGGCTATCAGAAAGTGAAGTGACTGGGACTGGTTCGAGTCCTGGACCTGGCAGCTTGCTTTCTCACTTTCCCTCTCTCTCTCTCACTATCTATCTATCTATCTATCTCCCTCTGGTGAGTGCACATGTCCTATAGGAAATTAAAAAAATATATAATAATTAATAAAAATTAAATAAATAATTCTTAAAAAAAGAACAAAAACCCAGTAGTTAAAACGACCAATTGGGAGCAGTTTTTGAAGCTGATCCTCTTCCAACTACACAAGAAATTGCCTCATCATCAACATTGGCCATTTTATGATCATTTGACATTTGAGGCAAACTGGAAAGGTGAAAAAGCTTGACAAGTGGATGCCGCATGAGCTGACCGAAAATAAAACTCTCATTATTTTGAAGTGTTGTCTTTTGCTCTACACCACAGCAATGAACCATTTCTAGATCAGATTAGAACGTGACGAAAGTGGATTTTACGTGATTGGCAATGACCGGCTTAGTGGCTAGACCCAGAAAAAGCTCCAAAGCACTTCCCAAAGTCAAACCTACACCCCAAAAAGGTCATGGTCCATTTGGTGGAGTCTCTTTGAGTGTCCAGAAACTAATATTTCATTGCTCATTACAGATAATTGAGGCAGCCCAGAGACAAGGGTCCCACCTGATTTTCAGACAGGGACTGAATGTTACTCTCCATACTCGACCAGTTACGGTAACGGTAGCTGCTGTAACAGACAGGTTTCAACCTTGCATTGGCTTCCTCACTCACAGTAGGTCCAGCTTCAGCAGGGGGGTCTGCATCCCTGGTGAGACGTCGTGGGGCAGGCTCCAAGGTTGCTCTGGGTGTCGGTGTTGACATTCAGCAGGTAGGACAGGAGGACGGGACATGAACGATGGTGTGTGGGATTTTTATGGACTGGCCAACAGTGTGCACGTCTTTTCTGACTGCGTTCCGTGAACCAGAGCCTAGTCACCTGGCCAAACCTAGATGCAAGTGGCCTGGGGAATTAAGTCCCTGACTGGGCAGCCATTTCCCGGAAACAACTCTGTGTGATGGAAGGGGAGCACGTATTTGGTGGCCAGCTGGCCCTCCTGCCACGCAGCCTCTGCTCCGTGTTGGACACAGGCGCTCCATGGATAGCAAGTGTGCTAGATGCATTTCACTTGGCAGGCATTTCCCGAAGTGCCTCAGATGTATCGATTTACTGTCATAAACATTGCAAGAATGGTTATTTTTAAGGGCTTCATTTTATAGATGAGACTGAGGCAGAGAAATGTTTAGTAACTCATCTGAGTCACACAGCGGTAAGCGATAGAGCCTGATTCAAACCCCACAGTCTGACTTTGGAAGTCACCGCACCACCACCTGGTATTTCTTTTCCCTGTAGATCCATGTTGCATGGAGCTGATTTATGAAAAAGGTAATGAATGGGAATGTGCTTTATGAAATTGTGGAGAGTGAGATTAGACAGGCCCTCTTAGAGGGCCCGAAACACTCCAGAGCCCCGGTATCTGCTGGGTACTAGCAGCTTTCTCTCTCCTGGGTTTCCATGGCACTTGGCAGGTGGGTTCATCTTGTTCTCCCCAGGCCTGGCATACTATCTGGTACATGGGAGGTGTTGAGTATACATTTCTCAATGGATTTGAAAAAGTAAATGCCAGATGTTATAGAGAAGAGTGAGCCAGACATAGTTCTGTCTTTAGAGAGCTCAGATTTGAAAAGACAGTTGTAAAAACGAGTTACTGATGTGTGAGAAAGGAGAGTGATGGAGAAGTGGACAGTCCACAGGGGGACATAAAGTGATGGGGTAGGAAAACAGAGAGCCTTTTCATTTTAGCCATCTATTCATCCAGCACATAGTTACTGAGCACCTACTATGTGCGGGGCACCACTGCCCCAAGTGCTGTAGATGGACAACCCTTTTCATAGGACTTTTGTTACAGCGGGAGAGACAGGCCTTGCATGTTTATACGCTGCAGGTGATGTGTGTAAGGAGGAAAATGAAGCAAAGTAGGGGTTCAGAGCATGGTGGGGCAGATTCATGGAGACGGTCTTAAACCAGGCTTCCTTTGCTCGTTCATGCACCCACGCATTTGTGCAGGCATGAATACGCTGGGTTCCTTGCTGAGAATCTACTTGGCTTAGCTCTGGGGACGCCTGGTTGACAAGCACCAGCTTCAGCTCAATGGGGACACATGCCGTGATTGCAACCTGTGTTTGCATAGTCACTTATTTGCATGTGGCGGATACTGTCTCTGGATGGCCTTCCTCCACGCCTGCCCCAGCCCATCCGACCAGCTCCCGCTCTGGGTGCAAAGACTGTGCAGATGCCGTCTCTTCCCTGAGCCTCTCAGCCTTCTTGGCAGATAGTGACCCTCCCAGCCCTCCCTCCAGGCAGCCCTGGGCCTGCTTGCTGCTTTCCCTATGGGCCATGGGGCCTTGAGCTACGGGAGTCTTAGGGGATACGCTCTCCAATTTCCCAGCAAGTACTCATGAAATACTCTCTACCGAGGTGTTCACCTGAGCTGTCAGTTCCATGAGAACAAGTCTTTCATAGCGGAATCCTCAGGGCCTAGAACAGAGTCTGGCAAATATGCAATGTGGGATAAATATCTCACATGTTGATCAAATGAATGAATGAATGAATGAAGGCAAGGTCCGCTGGTTGATACCTTCCAGGCCCAGGACTTTCCTGCCTTCCGGGAAGTTAGGGTAGGTGACTGCAATTTGTCTGGCCTAGCACAAAACTAAAACATGGACCCCTTGTTCAAGGTAAGAATTTCGAAGTGGGAGCGGTAGAGCGCAAACCAAGCCTGAAGGGTGTTTTCAGGGGCCTGACCTTGGGCTCTGCGCAGGAGACCTGCCCTGCCCTCTCTATTCCGCAGGCTTTCTTCCTTCTCCCTCTCCCACCTGCCGCTGGGTTCTGGTTCCTCCTCTCAGCCACGTCTGAACCTTAGGACGCTGCTGTGCAGAAACCATCAGGACCTCTTCTTACCGGTACCAGAGTCCGGCTCCGGGAGGTCCAGTCGGTTTCCGGGAGCCAGCGGGTACTTGGGGCTTTGGAAGGAGAATCCCGTAGGCTGGGGCGGGGGGCTGGGGGAGACGCTCCAGATCCCACCAGGACGGACCCCCGGGCACTTACCGCCCCATCTCCGCTGGTCTAGGAGCAGCTCCGGCTCCCTTGGAGGAGGGGGAGGCACGGTCTCCTTTCCCAGGAATGGCTCAGGCCTTACCACGCACCTGGGCATCTCGCAGCCTGCACAGAGACCACAGAAAGGCTGCCCCTTCCCCTCTTCACCCCTAGCCAGATTTGTCCAAGACAGGTGGCCAAAGAGACACAGTGACCCGCACAGAGAAAACGTACCACGAACACACAGGACGAGGGCAGACGGACAGAAGGACGACACGCACGGACACTTGCAGACGCACTCGGACCTTTAGGGTCCCCGGGGACGGCAGGGAGCAGCGAGCTCTGGCGCAGAGCCCGCGAGGCCGGTTCCGCCGCAGCCACGCCCCCCTCGCGTCCCCTAGGAAGCCCCTGTCGCTCCCGCCGCCCTGGGAGCTCTCGGGGCGGCGTGGGGGGGACTTCTAGGCAACAGCGGTGCGGGGAGCCTGGTAGGTTGATGGGTCAGCAGCAGGCGTCGACGCAGGGGTGAGGACTGCCTGCAGCGGGCGGGGAGCAGGGCTGGCCTGTGTCCGAGAGAGCAGGAGCCGCCCGCCTGGGTCCCCAAGTGGGCGGGGGCTGGCCGAGGCGTTGCCCAGCGAGGGGCAGGGGGCAGTGGGCGTCGAGGAGCGCGGAGACACCCGCAAAGAGGCAGGCGGGGGCGGGAACCCGAGGGCCGGGGAGGCGCGAGGGCAGGCTGGCAGCAGGCGTCGGGGCAAGGACAGCCGGGGCCAGCAGGTGGGGCCTGGACGCAGCCACCTCCAAGGCAAGACTCGGCGCCGACCTCTCAAAGATGCCCGAAGCCCAGGAGATGCCCACCTTGGCCCGGGCAGCGGCGGGCGCCTGGGACAGGGGCTGGTCGGAACCCCCCGCCCGCCCGCCTTCCCTC